GTTTGGGGAAGAATTCAATTATATGGAAGCCAAGTTTGGGAATGTCGTTGTTGCCGTCATTAAGCCTGAAATGGACAAATCCGTCGAGCCTGTGATGGAGTTTAATATCAAGTCTGTTAATGAAATTCCCCCTCTGAAGAGGGCATTGATTGAAAAGAATTCTGTTGTTGCTGTAAAGTACGCCACTAAGAGCGCAAGGATCGCTCCCAAAACTATTTATGCTTCTGTCACTGGATTCACTGCTACTACACCAATTGTTCCACTAACAAAAGGAAGGAGATTCTTTACGAAGAAGTGTCTGGTGATGCTTTTCCCCCGCCGTTTTCTGCATTCGAAATTGGGTCCAATTCAAAGTCCGTGCAATTTACTAAAACACAAGAAATTAGACGCAACCAGAAAATTCTAAGGCCTGAGAAGGCGAAAGCCACAGAGCTAGCTACTACTGACACTACCCTCTGACTAGGTGAAATAGGATTACGTGAGACCTCACCTCTATGCACGAGGAATAAGTTCCACCAGTTACCTGCCACCTACGGAGAGGTTGGAGCCTATGGGGCTGTTACCACATCACCACCACCATCTCTCAATAATGATCTAAGGCTGGTGACGACATTCGAAGGAAAATCTGAGATGATAGCAGGGGTGAACAAAGTATATTCTTTCAGAAAAGAAGCTGTAGCAAATATATTGCAGGATTTGATTAAAAATCCCAAATTCATATTACGAGAGTCAAAGAGGCTGGAAGAAGTCGACATGAAAAATCATCCCAACTACTGTCCTTACCACAGACTGCTCGGACATACTATAGAAAACTGTATCAGCTTCAAAGAATGGCTTGAAAAGAATTTGAAAAAATGGAAAAATAATGATTTCGAAAGAATATTTGACAAATCCCGAAGGACGAATGATTTCAGCTATTCCAGTTGCTCCATCTGATTTCCACACAACTACACTAGTGCTCAGCAAAAGAGGTGATGCTCATCAAAAATCTTCAATTGACCTTAAAATTGTGAAAGGAAGATTGATCGAGGATTCATTGGAAAAGCTTCGAGCCGACATTACACGGTTGTCTGAAGAACGAAAAAAAGATATGGGTGATGAACCCTACGACCCGTCAGAATATGAGATAGAAGAGTTTGCAGAAATTAACATTATTGAGGCCAGAGCCACCTTATCCTCGTGCGATGCTCCTTTACCCACTGAGGAGAACGTCGTGGATGAGTTGCGAAGAGCCACTCAACAACGTGATGAACAAATCAACCAGAAGAAGAAACGACGACCGCTATAGCCACTATTCAAGGACAATCACAATCACCGCCGATGGTACCCCCAGGGACAAGCCATTCAGAAAACGTCCAAATCGTCGATGGTAAAAATGAATTCACTTCGGTCGATGAAGATGATCAATCAAAGAAAGACTCAGCTCATGAATCAATATCAGAAAAAGACACTAACCAAATGGTGGAACAACAGGTGAGAAAAGCTCTGACTCAATCAAAAGGAGAGAAGTTGATTCTAAAGGGTAGGTCCTATCCTAAAGAATTTGATAATGTTCAATATCCTAAGGGTTTTATACCATCGTTGTTCAAGACATTTGATGGAACGGGAAACCCCTGGCAGCATGTTTCACACTTCCGAGTAAGTTGTGGCAACACGGGTGATAGTGATGCATTGTTGTGTCGTCAATTTGTGAGCAGTCTTTTGAGAATCGCTTTTAACTGGTACGCTGAACTGCCCAATGGCTCAGTAAAAATATTTGCAGAATTAGAAGACATCTTTGCTAAGCCGTTTGTTGGGGTTGGGCACCATATCACCGTCGGTGATCTTGTGGCCGAGCAACAGAAGCCAGCCGAAACATCGATGGACTACATTCTGCGATAGAGGAATTTGAGCATGAGCTGTAGCCACAACTCCAAGAACAACACGCAGTCGAAATCCTTCTAAAGAACATCCATGGTCCAGTGGGTTTCTTACTCGAGGGATTCACCATTAAGACATTTGAAAAGCTGCTTAAAAAAGTTGGGAATCTTAAGGAAAAAGCGAAACATATTGGGTTTTTTGAGAAGGTTGGAAAGCTAGAGCCCTTAAAGATATCGGAAAAGAAATCTGGGACTGCAGCAATGGTTGACAGGGGCAAGCGGCCGTTGCAAATTCAAGTGAAACAGTCTCAACAAATCTTCCAACATCATCGTTAGCATATTCAACAGTCATCTCAGCAGAGACCTTACCAGATAGACGAAGGACATGTTCCAATCATGAATACTCGATCAAATGGGATATATTCTTTTAAAGATGAAGCAACGAAAAAGATGTTTCGCAGTTTGGTGCGGGTTGCCCAAGCCAAAGAAGTCTGATGAGATCAACAAAAAAGGACATCTGAGATATTGCCCGTACCACAGGTTCATTGGACACACCATAGAGGAGTGTTGCAGTTTCAAAGACTTGCTCGAGAAGAAGTTCAAGAAAGGGGATGTAACGATCCCGGGAGAGTATTTGAAAAGAACCTGAAAAAGGTTTTGTCAATATGATTTCGGTCGATCTCAATGTTCTGATTAACTCCGGTGCAGCTTTCAAGGAATGTAACTTCTTTTGATTACTATTGTACTACTTTTATTGTCGAAAGAGATATTAGTAGTATCAATGTTTGCTTGTCTCGTCCCTCTTGCAATGAATGAAATAAAAGAAAGTTTGTTGTTCCAAAATTGTTCAATACTTAAAAAAAAACTCTGCATCCCAAAAGAAAAATTTTTGGATTTCTAATACGAATATGACTTCAGGGGAGAATGAAATTAATATCTTAATAACTGAGTCATCCACTTTAAGGGAATTCGGGCTGGGTCCTAAGCTGATTTCAAAATAAGATAGTGTGGTTGAAATACGAATAGTTGACTCGGGATATCACGAGCCTTTTAATTTCCTGCCATGTGACTAAGTGATTGGGTCCTGACTTTTTATAATATTTCAGAATTCGTCTTAAGAAGTATCTAAGAATTATTTGTCAGGGGAATTTGGACATTCAAAATCTTTAATATATCTTTCACCAGATATAGTAATTCTCAGAAAACAAACGGAGCAAAAAAAAATTGTGAATCCCCTGAGAAGAAGCTTGAGGTGAGCATAAAATCAAAAATTGGTGTTTGAATTCAAACATTCAAAATCTT